CTCCACATCTCAGCTGATGTAAAAAACGCTAACGTAAACATACGCTGACCTCTCTGAGACCCTGAGTTCCACTCCTTGACGAAACGTCTAGCAGTAGGATTTCTGAGTCAGGGATGATTTCTATTGCTAACTTTTGGAAACATTCCCAGACTGCTTTCCATAGTGACTGCACGCCGCTGCCTGCCTGTCCACTCACCCAGCTTTCACCGTCCCTTTCAAGTCTAGCTCAAGGCGTAGGACACTGCACAGAATTCCACCCGACAACATTCAGTAACGAGTCATGTGATAACTGGCTTTCCCTTTTATTCCTGTTTTTAGTCGAAATATCTCTGGTGTTCCATGATTGTGCACGATGTTTGAAAGTGGAAGAAATTCATTATTTTTTGCTTGCTTTTGCTTTTTCTAGCGTTTCCCCACCCCCTGGGAATCTATGGTGCAGTTCATCAGCTGCATCATTGCCCCCACAAAGCCACACAGTTTGTGAGATGTGTGTGTTTATTCCCCACCTTTCTCTCCCCAGCCTGTGTCGCGTGAGCATGTTTTTGCACGTGTTCCTACAAAGGAGGCATTATGGTTTTGCATAATTCTATTTGTAGTTTGCATGAATATTATCAGATACATCCCATTCTGTTTCTTTAGGATTTATTTTATTCGTTGGAGAGGTGGAGCTACACACGCACACACAGAGTGTTGTAAATCAGAATACAGAATCTTCGATCTTTCAAGGAAAATGGAAGTTTAATATGGAGCATGGCAGCCACTACCTTGCAAAATGGTGTCTCAAGGGGAAGGCTAACCAGGATATTTTTTTTAAAGATTTATTTTATTTTTATTGCAAAGTCAGATATACAGAGAGGAAGATCTTTGGTCCAATGATTTACTCCCCCAAGTGACCACAATGGCTGGTGCTGCGCTGATACAAAGCCAGGATCCAGGAACTTCCTTCAGGTCTCCCATATGGGTGCAGGGTTCCAAGGCTTTGGACTGTCCTCTATTTCTTTCCCAGGCCATAGGCATTGCACTGGATGAGAAGTGAAGCTGCCGGGATTAGAACCGGTGCCCATATGGGATCCTGGCACGTTCAAGACAAGAACTTTAGCTGCTAGGCCACTGTACTGGGCCCCACACTATCACTTTTGTATATTGTCTATTTTAGCTGATCCATGTCAGAGAGAGATCTTCCATTCTCTCATTCACTCCACAGATAACCACAATGTCAGAGCTGGGCCAGGCTGTCAGGAGCCAGGAACTTCATTTGGGTCTCCCACATGGGTAACAAAGCCCCAAGTTCTTGGGCCAGCTCTCACTGCTTTCCTAGGTGCATTAGCAGGGAGCTGGATCAGAAGTGGATCAGCCGGGACTCAAACATCGCCCCCACAAGGGTCACAAGTGGTAGCTTAGCACACTGCATCGCAGCACCAGCCTCGACCATTTTTCATTTTCTAGAACATAGTCTCCTTGGTTGTGCTGGCCACGTCAGTGCATGGACTTCTAGTGAAACATAATGTAGGAAAAGACACCCCCAGGGCTGGGTGGGTTCGGAGGCTCAGACTGCAGGTGGGAGCTGGCCTTTGCCTGGGCAGGCTCCAGACGGGGGTGTGGCTTTGGAGTGGGGTTGAGGGGGGTGCAGTGCTGGGCACTGTGCTCTGGGCATCCCCAGGACAAAGTCTGCCAGCCTGCTGGAGCAGGGTTTCTGGGAAGCGGCCTTCCACAGTCAGGAGAGACTCACATAAACTTTGTGGAAATTCCCTGATCTGTTGCTCGCAGCTTCCCGACACCCAGTCCCTGAGATGTGGCCTCTCCTTAAGCCACGCCTCCTCTCGGGGCACCTTCTCTTTCCTTCAACTCCAGGTTCATCTTCTGTGCCCCTGTGGAGTGAAGCCAGGCCACGCAGGAAGGTGAACGGGAAAGTCTCGGGGCACAGGACTGCCTCATTTTGTTAACGTCCCACCTCTTGCTACTCCTGCCCCTGCTAATGCGCGTTAGAGCCGCTTTTGACTTTTGTGCTTTTTGGCTGCTATAACTCATGTGCAGATAAACCCTCTCACAGTGAGTGGGCTTTGGGTCTGGGGGTGGATACAAGGATGTTGTCTGTGACAGCCCCTGGGCTGTGCACCTGTAACGTGCGCACTGATCTGTATGGGATCCTTAAACATTTCAGAAACACACCCTGTCTCCTGATATCCTGCCTCGTATCACCCGATCAGGGACTGTCCCATTGAAAATGCCCTTCCCTACCATGTGACCTGATCAAGTGCTCTGTTTACTGCTCTGTGGTGTACGCCTTGAATTTCTTGGCCCGCAGAGTCCCTGGCTTCCCCTGGGTGCTGGGTCTTACAGAGCATGAAGCTGGCCCTGGCAGCCTCCAGGACCTGTCCCCAGATGGATAGCCCAGGTTGTGGTGGTTAACAGATGCTGGGGACTGACAAGGGAAAGCTCTGGCAGCATCTGGGAAGAAGCTTGGTGGCTGGCTCAGAGGGCGGGACCTGCACGGGACCCTGCCTGGCTCTCTCTCACCACCCTCCCAACCTGCCATTTATTTTACTATTGTGTGTGATGCAATACACATGATATAAAGTCAGCAATTCCAATCACGCTTCAGGGTGTGAGGGTATTTTGAACGTTTGTGGAAAATGAGCTTCAAAGATAAGTTTATATTGATGTAAAAAGTTGTGAAATCCATGCTTTTTTTAAATCACATCTGTTTTCGCTGAATGTCCTGATGAGCCATGGGTGGCCGCAGCAAGGGGTTATACACATGACACTGCCCATCCTTCCTCCCACCTTGAAGAAGTAATCTCTCCCCCACTCTCCTCTCCTCTCCCTTCCGTCTGCTCCCCTCCCCTCTCCTCTCCCCTTTCTTCTCTTCCCTCTCCTCCTCTTTTAAAGTGATCTTTCTATGTTTTTCTCCTTGCCCACTCCTCTGTGCACTCCCCAGAGGCCAGGCTGGATCAGGCCTGTTCCCCCGGAAGAGAAGCCCACTTGGTATGCACAAGGTAGGAGAGCAGAGGAGAAGTGTTTAACCAGCACAGTTTGAATCAATGAAAGCCACGGAAGATGACTTAACTCCTGCATGAGCTGAGCTAACCATGTCTCTGAGCTCATTGTTGAGGCCGTGTCTTGCTTAGAACTGGATCCTAAGCCTGTTTGTTGGCAGAGTGTTGGCAGAGTTCCACTCCTCATGGGAAACCATGCACCTGCTAGTGAGGACGTGCTAAGTGCCAGACACCAGGAAACCCCAAAAGGACAGAAGCCAACGCCTGGCATTCAGTGTGGGTTCTTCCTCTTCTTACATGTGTGAGCCCTGTGGCTTCAATGGGAATGCTTGTTTGGTGAGAGACAAGTTGATAGACTCTGTGGCCCCTGCCCAAGGTCACACAGCTAGCAGCAGAAAGGGTCTCAGGTACAGGCACCTCCAGCCCTCAGGGTTTCCCTATTTATTTGGCAATGCCTTCCCTATTAATAACCAAAATGAGATTTTTACTTTTTTTTTGGCCTTCATTTAAGTAAAGCCTGTATTCCTTTTTCTGATTATAAACATGTATATACTATTTATAAGGAAAATCAGACGCCTATCGAAAGTAAAAATATATCTTTTAAAAATTCACTGATTTGGAACTGACACTGTGACATAGCAAGTAAAGCTACCACCAGCAGTGCCAGCAATCTGTATGGGTGCTGGTTAGAGACCCCCAGTTGCTCCGCTTCTGGTCTAGCTCCCTGCTAATGCAGGTCTAATCTCCCTGGCAAAGCAGCAGAAGATGGCTTAAGTGTTTGGGGCCTTACATCTATGTGGAAGACCTGGAAAAAGCTCCTGGCTCTGGACCAGCCCAGTCTGGCTTTCATGGTCATTTGGGGAATAGACCAGTAGATAAAAAATCTCTCTCTGTGTCTCTCCCTCTATGTCTATAACTGTGCCTTTCAAATACATAAATAAATATTTTTTAAATTATTGGTTTAAAAGTTAGTTGAAAGATAGGGATTGAACAATCTATCCACTGGTTTACTCCTCAAGTGTCCATAACAGCCAAGACTGGGTCAGACCAAGGTTGGGAACCTGACACCCAATCTGATCTCCAGGAGGTGGCAGGAAGCCCTGTAACGGAGCTGCCACCTGCTGCCTCCCACCGTGTGCATTGACAAAAGTTGGAATTAGAAGTGGAGCTGAGGCTTGGACCCAGGCATTCTGATAACTGATATGGGCATCCAGGTAGTGCCTTCATTTCCGTGCTGAACACCCAGAAATCTAACTTTCTTTTCAGAAGATTCGTTTGAAAGATAGAATGATAGTGAAGGAGAAAGACAGAGCGAGCTTTGATCCACTGATTCACTCTCCAGATACCCTCAACGGCTGCAGATGAAGGCAGGAGCCAGGAACTCTTTTGGAGTCTCCCATGTGGGTGGCAGAAACCCACGTAGGTCCTTGGGCCAGCATCTGCTGCTTCCCGGGAGTGTCGGCAGGAAGCTGGGTTGGAAGTGTAGAACAGCCGGGACTCACCCAGGCAGCTTGCTATGCAACGCAGACACCCTAAGCAGTGGCTCCAGTGGCTCCGCTCTAATGCCTGCCCCTCAGTTTTTAACACTTATGATGGTCTCCCCAAGTTCATGGCTGACCTATCCAGGAGTAGCAGAATTTGGAAACTTTGTTCCTTATCAGCTCTTCCTTGCAGATGTTGTCTGGGTTATGAACTGTATTTTATTTTTACATATGTGACCTGTTTCTCTAGACCCATGCATCCCCACTGGCCTTCAGAGAGAATGAAGGAGGATGTGGAGATGACAGAACTGTCTCTGGCTTCCTTCCCCAGCCCGGGGTTCTTGGAAGGCCTTGTTTTCAATCCCACAGACTAGGCACGAGGCTGTTTGAGCGTTACTTTCTTCCTGGGTTTTGAGTGCAATAAGGAAGTGTCACACGAAACTGTTTTTTTTTTTTGTTTGTTTGTTTTTTTCTGAGCTCTGTACCCAGAAACTTAAAGCAGCCTTGGGTAGGGCAGTGACAGATGGCAGTAAGTGGGCTGGTCCTTGTCTCTCGGGATTGGCTACCTGTGAGCTCAGCTCCCGGAAGATGTGATATATACAACCACATTTGCTCCTGGAAGGAGCTGCTCCAATACCCACACTGTCTGCCTCTTGCTGCCCACAAGCAGTGCGACCCACCACACAGCCCGCTGTCCGGAGGCCCCAGCCCAGGAGCGACTTCCAGAGTCCCAGGTTAGTTGTACAATGCCTCCCTCTTTTGGGGTGGGACAGAGTGTTGGCTTACTGGGGTCCTGAAAGAAAGCTGGGCCTTGAGCCAGACCCTAAATCCAGTTCCAACCAGGTGTGGGGCTGGAGCAGAGCAAACTTTTCCTTAGATGTGGGAGGGACGGCCATTGCCAAGGTCAGCTCAGCCTGTGGGGGATTTTCCTTATGATCCAGGCTGGCCACAGTGGAATGTTCTACTTCCAAGGTAAGAATTTTGCCACTGCTGCCCCTGATGGAGCCCAGGTTGTGGGTCTGTCACTAAGAACTCCTGTGTTTGAGCAGATGGGGGTAGGTTAACTCTAAAAACCTATTTGGGATCCCACAGAGAGGAGGACCTTGCATTGTTCCTAATACCTGGGAGGCAGGTATGCCAGAAGGATGGGTCTAAGGTTGAAGGTAGAGGTGAGCACTTGTCCCCTGTGCCAGCCCTGCTTGTGGAAGCTAAGAGACCCCCACCCACTCATCCACCTAGAGGACTCCTTGATGCACTATATGCGGGGAGGTGAGAGCCACGGATGGAGCCAAACCAGGGCAGGAGACCTGTTATGCTGGAATTATTTTGAGTGTGCCCATGTGCTCTCCAGCCAGCTTCCTGCCCAGGGTTCTGGGAACTCTACTCTGCATTCACAGTCGTCACCTCTTGAGCACAGGTGTGTCTACCTGGAGAACAAGCCCACGTGTGGTTTTACACACACGGACCATGGCCAGGCATGTGTGTATATGTGGCTATCTCTGGTAGCACAAACAGCAGATTGGCTCCCGTGCATGCACATGTCTGTATTTGTGGAAATGCATGGGGGTGGGAGGGGAAAGGCAGGCTCTAGTGTCTGGAGAGGGGATTTCAAGTCCCATCCCTTGGCCTTTTTGCTGTGGGGCCCTGGGTGGGGGGTGATGTACCACTGGGGGCTGTGATGGGTTCCCCAGTGCTGGCCTCTTTCCCTCACAGCACATAATCCATGAGGTGATGGGGAGGAAGCAGCGTTTCCTCCATGAGTTGCTTTGTGTCTGTCTGAGTGTTGTGCCTGTGTTCTGCACACACTGAAGGTCTTCCAGGCCCCGGGGATGCTGTGGGAAACCCTGGCAGCGTGGATCCTCTTTCATGGGACAGACAGGTGGGCAGGTGCCAAGCAGGAAGGCGGTCACCTACTGATTCGGGACAGCAGAAGCCCTGGGCTTCTTTCTTTTTTTCCTTTTACAGTTTATTTATTTAAAAGTCACAGTTACAGAGAGAGGAGGGGAGACACACAGAGAGATTTTCTCTCTGCTGGTTCATTCCCCAAATAGCCACAACAGCCAGAACTGGGCCAGGTCAAAGCCTGGAACCGGAAACTTCTTCCTGGTCTCCCCATGGGTACAGAGACACAAGGCCTTGAACTCTCCTTTTCTGCTTTTCCTCAGGTCACTGGCATGGAGCTGGTGGGGAACTAGAGTAGCTGGGATACAAACCGGCATCCATATGGGATGCTGGCACCACATGTGTCGTCTTAGCCTGCTACGCCCTGAGACTGGGCAGCAGTGTGCTCCCGTGACACCCGGCTACAGCTCTCTGTGGCCAGTGGGTCCGCATGGGAGAGCCACATGCACTGCCCTCAGTAAGGCCATGTGGGTGTGTCAGCTGCCTGTTTTGTGCTCACTTTGCAAGGGACAGGGCAGGGAGGAGAGTGGTGAAGCCAGAGCAGTTCCAGGGTAGCCAACCAGGAGCACAGGGCAGAAAGCAGCAGACAGAGGAGGTCAGTGTGTAATTCAGAAACAAACCAGACTCAGCCGCGTGCCAAGCTCCCTGCTCAGGGAGTCCTCTGTTGTTGACTGCCCGTGTGAAACACGTCGTCATGTGCCAGCCCTTATCACAAGTCCTGGGATTGGCAGCTGCTCGGGGATTTCCGAGCTGGGATGGACTTTGCTCTGAAATCCAACTGAGTCTTCCTTCCCGAGATGAGGGTGTGCTGGGGCTGGGGAGGGGTATGCCCAACTGCGTGGGTGTCCCTGAGGGGCCAGACACCTGTGGATACATGCGTGTCTTGGGACTGAACCTTCCATGTGGTCAGGGAGGGCATGATTTCTTCCGGGGGGCTCTGGAGGAGTAGTTGGGAGGTGTGAGCACTGCCTCTCTCCTCTGGCAATGGGAACAGTGATATCTCTTCACCAGGGTCGCCATGACAGGGGGACAGGTCTGTCAGTTGCAAGCAGGGACTGGCCCCAAGTCCTCAGGGCCTCTCCTGAGCCCACTGTTTGCTTGCAGCCCACGGAGAAACAGAGGCAGCCACAGACACCCCCTGTGGACAGGAGAGTGCCTTCTCCAGAAAGACTGCAGGACCTCCGCAGGGACTCTGAGTCGTGCCACTGCCAGTGCCTGTCCGTGACCTCAGTTCCCCGCAGAAGTGCCCTCCGTCAGACTGCCAGCATCGGCACCAGCCGTCCTGTGGGGACCACAGTGCTGCCTCCAGAGGAGATGGGGGATGGTCTCTACAGTGAGCAGAGGCCCCCACGGGACACCAAGAAGGACAAAGCCCCAAGGTGGGCCCAGCAGCAGTGGCTAAAGATGCTGCTAAACTTCCTGCTGCGGATGGGCCCCGAGGAGCCCAAAGAGAAGACCAGCAGGCTGCCGAAGGAAAAGGAGGGTCACCCCCAGGCCTCGGAGCCCCCCAGAGCAGCAGGGGAGCCAGCCATCAGGAGGAAAACCCCAGATAGGAAATCCAGTCCTGAGAGACACAATGCTGAGAAACCCACCATGACTCAAAACGCTGAGGCTGGAGGTCCCGAGGCAGGGCGGACAGGGCTGGGCCCTGCTCATGGAGGTAAGCAGACAGCACCTGCCTGGGTCCAGACAACTCTGAGCTTGCCCCCGTAGACCTCTCAACAGACAGGGCAGGGAGAGGGGGACAGCTGGGGAGAGAGGCGCTGTGACTTTTCTCAGCAGCAGAGCTGAGAGCATGGGGTCAAACTGCTGGCAGGCTCACCCTTCTCCAGGGGTGTGGCCTGGGGACAGCTACAGGCTCGGAAACAGGGGAAGGAGGGACGGGGGCAGGGAGGAAAGCCCTCCCTGCTCCATCCCACCATCCACATGCGGCTGCCGGGGCACTGGCTGCAGAATTTGAGCCTAGGCTTGGCACCATCAAAAATGAACCTTGAGCAAGAGGGCTGGTCCCTGCACTTGGGGCTCAGGCAGTGAGAAGGATGCCTGAGTTGGGACAATCTCTTCTTGGGTCCCAGCTTAGGCAATGCCCACCATGCTGGGGGCACAATGCCTTCTGCTCATGCAGGTCAGGACAAAGCCCCCAGCCCCCCCACACACCTTACCTTCTGTGGTCTGGATTCCAGGTGGGGACAATTCTCATCTCCACCAGTCCTTGCTCACCAAGAGAGAAGGTGCTGGAGTCGTGGAAGCCACAGGTCCCCAGCAGGAAGAAGAGGAGCTCGCAAAGCTTGACCGTGAGTCCTTGTCCCAGGGGTGGGGGCTGGTCCCCAGATAAGCTGATGGCTGACAACGGTCGCTGAGCCTCAGCACTGGCTATAGGAACGGGCACACTTCGTTGGATGCTGTGGTCGCACTGACATCTCTTGGGGGTCCCAGAAGGGTGTCTTAGGTTTGAAGAGACCATTGGCCACTGCTTCTGTCTTTTCGTGGTCATGGGACTTTTGAAGTCAGTCTCCCTCAATGTGTTTTACTTTGGAACATATGTGGCAGCGTGGCCAGAATGGTTCGAGGGGTCCTGCTGTATCAGTCCTGGTCACATTTCATGTGTATGTGCACCAAGGGTTACTAAGGAGCTCATGTGTGGCGGGGGGTGGGTTTGTGAATTACGGAGTGGGGGAACTACAGACTTCCAATTTCTTGTACGCCAATAAGCTAAACATTTAATTCCATCTTCCCAGGAAGCCCCTTGTGTGGGTATGATTTGAGCATAGAACCACTTTAGAATAAGCCAGACTGGATGCACATGTGAGAGGGAGGTGGGCGGGCAGTGAGAGGGAGGTGGGTGGGCAGTGAGATGGAGGTGGGCTGGCAGTGAGGGGTGGAGGCAGCTTGAGGAATTGCCTTTGCTTCTCTCAGCGTGAACAGATCTGCTGGCCTCGGCCCTGGAGCAGGGTGGCTGGGGTGTCACAGGACACTGCTCCATTTTGTGTGGCTCCTTCTGGAAAACTCTAAAATGTGGCACCTTGCCTGCTGACACCCCTCTGTCCTCCACTCGAGTTAGGCTGGCTGTCCGCCATGCCCCACCCCACAAGTTTGCCAGCTGGGGAGTCAGCCCTGGCTTTGCTGAATGTTCCCAAGGCCAGTCCTTATTGGATGGCCTGACAGCCAGGACAGGATGAATCCTATCTCAGAAAGGAAAGAGGTGAATTCCCAGAGATGCTGAGAAACCCATCTTTGGTCACACAGCTTGCCACACACACTTGCCAGGTCATGAAACATGGCAGACACAAGCCACACCCTGGGAAGGCTAGCTGCAGTGAGGAGGGCATTGAACTCCACACTTTTACATAGGATCCTACTCTTGTGGGCCTCCCTGCTTCCCCTGGCCTTGGGAGCTGCCAGAGAAGACCCTGCCTGAGGGAGGGGGTGAGGCCCAAGGCTGTCATTCCACAGCGTGACCGGCCTGCGGTCTCTTGCAGAGGACACGGCCATCCAGATGATTGTGGAGCTGCTCAAGAGAGTGGGGGACCAGTGGGAAGAAGAGGTGAGCAGTGCCTGTGGGCAAGCCCCCTTGGACCCCCACCTTTCTCTCACCCTACACCGGGCCCCGGCTGCCCCTTGAAGGGCTTTTCCCAGCTGAGGCCCTGACCCAGCTTCTCTCCCCACAGCGCCTGCAAGTCCCTCAAGCACAGGCTGCCCTGCAGACCCTGGCCGCCACTCCCAGGAAGCAAGCCCATGAGAGGAAGTCCAGCCTCAAGAGAGCTTTCTCTCTCCGGAAGTCAGGCTCTGGGGCACCCAGGGGAGCCAGGCCTGCACACAGCCCCAGCGCTGAGGCTCGGCCGCCCAGGAGGCCCGGCTTTCTGCCCCTGTGCATGGGTGGCCACCGGCCCTCCATCCCCAGCAGTCCAGGTGAGCAGGCTTGCAGGTCACCATGGCTGGAACTTGCTTCTTGCATGCTTGTGATGGTTCCTGAGCCACAAAAGGGAGGGTTGGGGAGGAAAGGACAGATAGCCATGGCTCTGCTGTTCATGGTCTCAGACCCCAGCTCTCAACAATCTCACCTTCGAACCCCCGGCCCCAGGCCTCTGCCGGGGACATGTGTGCATGAGGGAGCTGGGGCTGGAGCGATGGGAGCCTGGGGATCGCGGCCTTATTTCCTCCATTTTCCCCCACTCCATGTCTCAGTTCCCCTGACTATAAAAGAAGACATTTCCCACTGTGCCTGTGTCTGAACCAGTTCTATATTGATCGGCCCATCTCACAGGTGGGAAAACTGAACCATAGGGAGGTGTCCCAGGCCATGTGGCTCATCAGAGACGGCAGAGCCAGAGGCAGACCGGACAACCAACTTCTTCCAGGGTGCCGGGGACGGGCAATGACAGGCTATGCTGGCAAAGGAGGAGACCATGTCAGCCACCGCAGTCTGTCCCCAGTGGTCGGGTTTAGGTCACCACCAGGGATTCTGGCCACGATCCACTCCACTTCATGTCATGGAACCAGGCACCTGTTTCTTACCTTGTGGACAAAACCAAAGCAGTGAAAGGGTTGGAGGGAGTGGTGGGGGAGGGGGAGGTGCACAGATCCCCCAAAAGTGGAAATGCACAGGAGCTTGGTTGGGCCAGCGCCTGGCTCAGTGACAACCCAGCAAGACCTTGGTGAGACCTGGCAGTGGTTGCCTCTGCGGTCTGCACTGGCTCGTCCTCCTCCCAACCCTGGTACCCACTGCTTCGTTTCGTTTCTTAGGCCTGGAAGAACCCGAGACCCAGGAGGCTGGGTTTGCTGATGGCGGAGGTCCCGGTCATTCTACCATCCCCCTCCCAGCAGGACACCAGGGACCTGGGGAGGAGCTGCAGCTGGACAGAGCTTTGGAATCCAGTCAGTACCCCCACCTCTTCTCAGACACCACTGAAAACAGCAGGCCTGGCTCTTCCACTGTCCCCGCCTTCCCCCAAGAGCCATGGGCTGGGGAGGCAACGTGGGATCCAGCTCATGGTCATCCCCCAACCCCTAGTGTTTCAGTTGATTCTGAACCAGACATGAGGCTGGCACGAGGTCTTCTCTGGGGTCTGGACTTGAATCTGGTCTCTGACCCCTGGTTGCTGTGTGAACTTGGGCAGGTGGCTCCATCCCCGGGGCTCAGGTTCCTTGCCTGTGAAATGGGATAGTGACTGTCCCTCCTTAAGACAGCTGGAGGTGCTAATGAGCCAATACCTGTGGAGCAGTGAGAGTGGCACCTGTCACAGCAGCCCCATCTGGCCCTGGAGGCAGGGGCTGCTGGATGACCACACACACAGGGAGCCAGCCCTGGCTCCTTGCAAAGGGTTGGAGCCTGGGAGCTTTGTCCCAGGACTGCAGATGGACTTGCAAACACTGTGGCTGAGCAAGCATGCTGATCTTTTTCAGAAGAATTCATCCGGAAGATCACTGCCCTCCTCCACAATGCTGAGCAGCAGGGAGCAGAGGTGAGAGGCCCCGACCCCTCCCCACCGCACCCAGACATCCCTCCCCGCCCTTGCCTGAGCCCAGCTAGGTTCCCTGGGGTCCTGCCTGGATTTTCCAGCCTCGAGCACCTATCCTTCTGCTCTTCCAGTCCTTTGCATCCTCCAGCCTGAAACCCGTGCTTCCCCCAGCTCTCCAGGTCAGAGGTCCTGCCTCAATCTCTTCTCCCTTCCCCACAGCAGCATCAAGTCTGCAAGGCACAGGTGCCTGCAGAAAATCCGGTGCCACCCTGCAGGAAGAAATCCCACGAGAGAAAGTCCAGCTTCAAGCAGGTCTTTGCTCAGAAAAGGCACTGCTCCAAGGAGCCCAAGAGAGGGGGGCCCACGGTGACTGCCAACCCAGACCCTCGGCCGCCCAAGAGACCTGGCTTTCTGCCACTGTGCGTGGGTGGCCAGCGACCCTCCTTCTCTGACAGCCTGGGTGAGGAGCTGGGGCGTTGCCATGGTGACAGGGCTGGGGATGGCAGGCCCTGTGGCTCAATCTCGACTTCTGCCTTCTCCTGCGGGTGAAGTAGCGCCAATGAGGGGGGTAGCAAGAGAGGGTTGGGCTGCAGGCATTGTTGACCCATCACCATCGGTGCCCTGACCCCGTTCCCACGCACGTGGTGTGGTGTGGATGCCGTTGTGAAGCAGATATGGGCATCAGGACCCATTAGCAGGCTAGCAGGAAATCAGAGCCTCACGTCGGAAGTTTTGTTTGTTTTTCTACTAAGCTTGTGGTTGCCCTGATATTTGTGGCATTTCTGTTCTCTACTACCTTCACAAACATCATGTAACCGGCTCACAACCTCCTGTGACTCCCATTAGGCAGATGGATAAAGTGAGGTTCACACAGGCTTGGCAAGGTTTACAGAGTTAAAGGGGAAAGTGGTTCCCCCAGTGCTCCTGGATACTGCCTTACTGCAGGTGGGTGGGAGGCAGAGGGGGCTGCTGGGTGAGTGGGAGATTTCTGGGCAACCAAAGACCCCTGCGCACGGGGCCCGGGTGCCAGGATTCCTCCCCTGCCGGCGCTGCCCTCAGCAGTGACTTGGTAGGGGAAAACTCAGCTCTATGCGATGCAGCTCTCAGACCGGCAACATACGCTCACCAACCTTTGTTTGTGGGCAGATCCAGAAGGTTCTGAGTCCCAGGGGCTTTCACCGACGGAGGGTCTCCAGCTGGCCTCTCAGAAGCAGCCCCCACAGGCCCAAAGTCACACGGTAGAAGAGGGACAAATTTCAGACGCCGAATGTGGATCTAGTGAGTATCACCTTGCTCTGTCCCTAGCGGCTTCTGGGAGCTTCTCTGTGGTCCTGGGAAGCTTCTGTGATGGCAGCTGGCAGAACCCCCGGGAGACTCTAGAATAGGACCAGGGAGGGCCAGGGAGGTGGTGGGCAGGGGTGGCTGGGCCTGGCCTTTGGATTGGAGCTGTCAGAGTAGAGTTGCCAAGGGAGGGTCTTTCCTGGGCAGTTGGCAGCTGCCCATTGTCTGGTCTTTGGCACAATGGGGGTGGTGACGTTCTCCAGAGGTGAGGACATGTTGGCTGACAAGCTGGGCGTGAGTGGCAGGAGGAGGGCCCCATGGGTAGTGTGTGCAGAGTTCCACAGCCTAGATATTTCTGCTGGCCCCATTACCAAGTGCCGGAGATGCCTTCAGGGCAGCCCACAGATTGCCTGGGTATTTATAATGGAATCCATACACGCCGCCCCAGCCCAGCACTTGCTCAACACCCAGGTAGATGGACCCATTCTGGCATGTTGTCACCTGATGTGGACAGGCCTCAGGATTCCCCTTGGCCAATGGGAAGCTGCGTGTGGCTTCGACTTAGCTGATGTCATTCACTGCTCTCCTTTACTGAAGGGATGTGAAGTTGCTGCACTTTGTCATTGGGGCGGAACTGGGGGTCACTCTACTCATGGGTGCTTCTTTGCCCCCAGAGGATCTCATCATCCAGGAGCTGGTGGCCCTGCTCCAAGTGCTGGATGGCCAGCTAGGGAAGCAGGTGAGCGCTGCAGCCTCCACTCTGACCCTGCCGCTGGAACCTCGTCTAGACACACCTGATGCTTGAGCTCAGCTGTCTGCATTGCATTTCTGAGTGAACCCCCCCGCCCCACCCTCAATTTCCCCTTTGGTACAATCAGGATTGAGGATCTGCCTGACCACTTGGTATATGCCCAGAGAATGCCAGGCACCTGGCACATAAGGCAAACGCTAGTTTCAAATCACATAATGTTCACAAACACACACACACACTGAGCCTGCAGGTCAAGGGGCGGAGCTACATTAGCCATAGAGCCGGGCTCCCACCTCTTAACACCTGAGTCTTTTTGCCTAGCATCCTCTTACCACCACCAACCAATATGGTGGGCGGAGTCATCTCCTTCCTCAACCCAGAAAGACCCCTGCCTACCAGCTCCCTCACCCTGGGTGGGTGGAACTGCAAGGTGGGTGCTCTGTGCTGGCTCCCAAAGTGTCCCTGGGTGAGTCAGCACCTGGTTGAAACCCTGGGCCAGCTGCCTTCCTGTCCTTTGCCCCCATTCTCTGTCCTTCCATCTGTGTTTGCTGGGGTTACTTAACAAGCGATCTACCCTTGCCCAGTCCTTGTCTCTGGGGCAAGCCCACCTGGCACAACTGGGTATTTGGAGGAGAATCTTGCTGGAGGAAGCTGCGAGAGGCACCCAACCCTACCCTGCACTTCGCCCTACCAGCTCCTGGCATTCCCTGGGGTAGATGATGCCTGCTGCTACCTCCATTTCACAGGTGGCTGAAAGGCTTTTTGGTCCTCGAGGCAGCAGCAGGGGAATTTGAGCAAGGGTGCTCATTCCCAGGGATTCTCAGGCACCTAACCAGGCTGCAGGGACATGGGAGCAGGAGACCCTGCCAGCATCTCCAAGGTTGTCCTCCTGTCTGCTTCCAGATCAGGCGGCACCCCAGCTTCAAGATGTTTTTTTACGAGTTCCCAGACTCTTCCCTCCAGAAGCTGGTGACCACCCTGCGCAGCCAGGAGGTACGCTCCCTTGATCCATGCAGGAACCCCACAGGAAGACCCTATCCATTTGCTTTGGGCCTGCCTGACAGATTTGCTGGAGATCACAGCCACGCCAGCTGCAGACTCATGGGCTCTGTGGGCCACTATCGCCGGCGCAGTTATTCCCACTTCCCAAACTCGGAAGCCCAACTGGTAAGAGAACACGGACAGACCATGGCGATAAGGGAGGGTGTGACCACAGGCCGATGGGCAGGGACCATCTCCAAGGCGACCTCCTCGCTGGGCCTTTCTGAGACCCAATTCCCAGCCACAAAGACCCTTTTCTTATCTAAAACTTCACTGATTTCATCCACTTTTTTTTTTTTAACCAAGAGTTAGCATCTTCTTTATTTGACTCTGATCTCTTACGTGTATGTACGATTTCACATTTTTGGATGTCATATGATATCAGAGTGGCGAGTAACTAGGGAACTTGCAAAAGTTTGTGGAAACAGAATTGGAAGATGGATTGATTCTGGTGCATTCTGTGAGCCACATGTACTCCTACTGTTTCAAGGCTTGTTATTTCCTGGGCCCTGCCGCGTGGCTCCAGACCATGGTACTATGTAACCAGCAAACACAATGAGGTTAACAATCCATCTCCCGGGTTTGGTGGCTTTACTAGAGTTATGATGACAATTTTCCAGCAGGTGGCAGCATGGTGCCTTGGAAAGGGAGCAGCTTTTTTGTGTTGAGGTAGATGAGAAGGCTCTGTGGGCTCTGTGAGCCTGGAAGGCTTCCAGGAAGTGGTGGAACCTGGAGGTACCGAGATAGGATGGACAGGAAGTGGTGCAGGAGCCCAGGTCCAGAGGTGGTAGTAGGTGGATGGTGTGAACAGGAGAGAGAAGGCAGGTCCACAAATTATTGGTTAAGACTTTCTCATTCTCCTCCCAGAATGTCACCAGTCTTCAGAGTCCAGACTGAGAGCTGCACCTCCTCGCACCTGCGTTCCCTTGAGCTGGCCTGGGGTCTGCAGCGCAAGCCAGGGTCACCCTCCCCCCCCCGCACCGACGCTGCTTCCTGCTGTTGCAATCCCATGGTTCCTGGAGAGAGCTGAAACCCAGGGCTGTGTGCCCACACAACCGTCAGAGACTCTGCAGGGCAGCCTTCTGAAGAGCTACATGCAGAGGCTGGGGAAGCCAGCATGGGCCTGGGGGTTACAGGACCGGGGCTGCGCTTGCTCCACCTGCTGCTGGACGCTGTGTGTGATGCCCTGCCCTCTTAAGGTCTTGGATTTAGCCCATCATGTGGATTTGTCTAAATCGACACTCTTCCTGGTTGTCAATTTTTAATGGATTTTGGTTATAAACATAGTTTTGGATTTACTCCCTAGCTGGAATATCTATGTGTATTTGCATAGACATGCAAAAGCCCTTGTTTCTTCCCTCCAGAAACCCACAAATCCACCTCCCATAGGACATGGTGGGGGAATGGGGCACCGTGTAAGGTGGGGGTCCCTCAACTCCCACCTCGAATGCTTGTCCAAGAGCCTTGAGGCATCTGGGAAAGCCCACTGCCTTGAAAGGTGGGCAAGTGACATCATGGCGTGATTACCCAATTTCCCGCTCCCTGCCACTCTGAGAAGTCAGGAGGCTAAGGGTTCAGCAGTGAACTAGGGGTGCGGGGGATGTTAACAGAGTTACCCAGAGAGCTGTGTTGCAGGGGCACCCACGGGCACCCAGAGGTGCTTATCTGGAAGACCACAGCATGTCCTGGCCCCTGCCTGGTCCTTGGTACTGGCAAGGCCTCCCAGGTTCAAAGCACAGTGGCCAACTCAAGAACAGCAGTCCTTCAGTGATGATTAAGAAAAAGCAGGAGGCGAGGCTTTGGCCTAACAGTTCAAATACTGGCTGGGAGACTCGGACCCTGTCAGGGTGCCCAGCTTTGAGTCTCGGCTCTGCTCCCAGTGCATAGCTTGGGAGTCAGCAGGGGATGGGTCAGGACTTGGATCTAGGCCACCCATGTGGGTAAACTGGACAGAGTTCCTGGTGCCCAGTCCTTGCTGACCATTGCAGGCATTCAGGAGATCTTCTCTCTGCCTCATTGCCTTTCAAATAAATAAGGAGAATAACAATAGTACAAAAAGATAAGTGGGAGACAGGATTAATTTAGGATGCTAGAGTGGCCAGATGCAACTTCAGGAGGTCCAGTTCAACGTGAATTCCAGACAAAAAGACAATCATCAGGAGTCCTCAGAGCGGGTGGCCATGTGTGGTTACCTGAAGTTCAGATTCAACAAATGTGCTCCATCCTACCCGGCCAGTCTGGAGTTTACATGAGCTCCGTTCTCCGAGCTCCCTCCAGTGGCAGGAAAGCGAAATGGCGCAAAGACACTGTGGCAGGGAATTTAGGACACCTAGCTGTTGTGGGCGGGGTCCTGGACTTAGACACAGGCTCTGCCTTAGGAAGCTAACCATTCGTGGTTCAGGCCTCCCTAAACCGGCAAGCAAGCACTGCTGAGCTGTGCAACAGAGAAAGGTTCCCGCCCCAGTTTGGGCCTCTGTGCTCATCAACATCACTCCATGGAAGAGCCTGCAGCCAGGGAGACACGCTGTGATACACCGTCTGGCCCGAGCTGCGCACAGCATCAAGCAGAGTCGGCAGAGCGTGCAACAGGCCTGGGGCCTTCTCAGGGCCTGCCAAGGTGCAGTTTGTCGCCTGCGTGGGGCCTGACACATGTGGACTCCAACTGTGGCTGCACCTGCCCTCCTTGGACTCCCTGTCCAGCCCACCCCTGCCTTCTGCCTGTCTGAGCTTGGTCTTCTAGAATTTGCTAAGCAAATGCAACTGGGCCTGGCAGTGACCGACTGGAGGCTGTTGGCTCCCTGGGGAGCCAGAGAGATGGGTTGCAGGTGATAGAACAGTCGAGAGTCCAGTCTCTTGATGCCACAGATGGATTCTGGGCTCAGTCTGCTGGAGATCTGACTTATTCCACAGCAGCTGGGGTCCCTGGGAACCCTGAGGGTGACCTGGGCCAGGCAGAGGTGGTGTAGCCAGGCTGAGGCTGGGGCGGGGTATCCGGCAGTCTGTGCAGAGCAAGGTCGCTGAAGGGTCAGAAGGACACAGAGCAGTCGAGAGGTCGCTGGGATGAGGAGACGCTTGGGTCCTCTGCGCCCTCAGGACAGGCAGCGAGGGTCCTCCTGGGCCCTGAGTGGCCCACACTCCAGAAAGCCATCCATGGGCCGTGGATGGGAGGTTGAGCCCCGGGCCTCGGGCATACTCCGTGGCAGCTCAGCTCTCTTCCCTCGGCTCCCAGCCTCCTAAGGAATAGACACACATCACATCCATCACTCGTGGGTCCCCATCCAGGACTGCCCTGCATCCCACGGAGGATGCCCCTCACAGACACCTCGGAAGCCCTGGGCAAATAGCCAGCTTGCCATCCCCCTCCACACACACACACACACTCCCTGGCCATAGCCAGCGTGGGACATACTTACAGGCAAACCTTAACCAATGCCAGAAGCCCACAAAGGCTCAGCCTTATTAGACATGGGATTTTCCAAGGGAAGCAAGGAAAGGCATCTGAGTCATTGTCAAGTTTACACAAAGTCTCGGCTGTTCAACAAGGAGCTGAGCAGGGGCACTGCGGGCTCCGGGCTGCGGGGCACAGCGTGCAGCCTGACCACTGCACTGGTTGTCGAGCACCCTGCTCTAACTCGGCGAGCACGTTATGCACTAGCCCCCAGCATCCGGCAGGGACTAGCATTGACCTTGATTGTAACCAGGAAGTAGAATGTAGGGGCAGATAGGCAGCTGGGTGGACAGCCCCAGGAGTTCCCACAGCACCCCAGGGGAGTCCCATACCTCCGGACGGCTGTGTTCTCGGGTCTGGCTGGGATGGGGTCTATAGGAGATCCAAACCGTCTCAGAAGCAGAGAGCAGAGAGAGGCTGAGCGGACAGGGTGCTGACCTGGCCGGGAGAAGCCGGGGACACACGCATGAGTAGGAAGGTGGATGAGAGCAGGGGACCTCTGCCGTTGTGTGACCCTGGACTGTCCCTTTGGGCAAGGAAGAGCTTGCCCAGCTGAGATAGGCACAGACATCTTCTGAGTGATTTCCAAATCCAGCTTTCATTGACTGCAAACTGCAGGCTGCTGGATCCCCAGCATCCAGCCAAGAAGGGGGACAATCTGAGGTTGATCTCTCACACACGAACGTGAACGGATCCCCGAGTGTTATGGAAGGAGCACAACTAGAAATAAAAAACTAAGGAGTCCCGTGATCACCGTATGAGACAGATGTCCCTAATCAACAAATGGACTAGGTGAACGTCAACTTCCAACTAGAACAAAAGCTATTTATTACTGGGTATTGGCCAAGTGTCAAATTCAAGGTTAGGTTTTGTACTGTAGGTGCTGTCTGACCTAGACCAGAACGAAGCAATGCCCCCAGCATCTCACACTGCACACGGCTCTGCTGTCTGCTGTAGCTGGGACTCCAGGTCTCCCGGGTGGGCAGCAGAAACCTACCTCCTCAGGCCCTTCCCACTGCCTCCCCAAAGTCCACCTCCGCACACAGCCGGCATCAAGAGCAAGAGTGTGGACACTCACAGCCACACACGCCCGCTGACATGTGGGAGTCAAGGACCCAGTGCACCTGCTGGCTACCAAGGGCTATGACACACCTGTGCTCTACAGTTTGTAACCATTGGCGTTAAACTCTCTCCACCTTCCCACTTAAGGGACCGTTTGCCAATCAAGAAGTGGAAGCTTGGAGAGATCAGGTGCCCCAAAGTCACAACTGGGGATCCACGCCACAGCTCAAGTCTCCTCCCTCATAGCTCCCCTAATTCACCTTTGGAATACCTCTGCTGGTGCTCCCCACTGCTGCCCCCAGACCCCCAGCTTTGGGGGAGCCTTGGCCGTGCTCACCACACGCTGCCACTGGGCTCTTTGGGCCGTGGCAGTCTTTGACAGCCTCTTCTGGTGCCACTCATCTTCGGTTTGCTCTTCCTGAATATCTTGCTCACCCAGTGGGAGTCCTCAGCAGGGCTGTGCCTGGCAGGGAGAGGAGGCATGGACGCATGTGCTTTGTCCCTGGCCAGGTCCTTTGTCCTCCGAGGTCAGGGCCCTGCTCCTACTCAGGCGCATGGCAATGCCCGTGGCTCTCAACCCTGCATGCCCCAGCTGATGTGGGTTTGCTCGTTATCCCGTCAGGATTGACCTCAGCAGTGCCATGCCTGCTAAGAAGCTGCAGAGCTATGTGCAAGTGCACAAGAACTCAAATTGTGTGAACAACATGCTTCCCCACTCATGCCAAAGCTAGAATGCATCACATACATGAAAACTCGGGGAAAAAAACCAGCCTGGTAGTCAAGATGGCAGCTCATGAGGGAGGCAGGTGCATCCTCCCAGTGTGAAGCCTCTGGCCCTGCCTTCCTGGTACCAGTACCCTAACCAGAGTGGTGGTCCAGGAGAACCTGGCCTTTTCCCAGCTGCCCCAGGGCAGGAAGGGTGGGAGTGGGGGCTTCTGGCACCTTCTGCTGCTAACCCAGCACCTTCCAGCCAGCAAGGGCACCTGGGGAACATGAAAGAGACAGCCATCTTCAGATCCATTCACATTTCCTGCGATATCCATCATGCATACATGGTACACAGCCCAGACAGCTGACACTGGTGGACTAGGAGCCCCATGTCGTGCTGACAGCTCCTAATAACCGATTCAAAGCAAGTGAGGCCTTCCATAATGTCCCTTCACCTGCCGTGCAGGGGACACTGCAGGCCAGGGAGCAGGAAGCCTGAGAACCCATAGAGTGAATCAGAACAGATGCACACACTCTCTCACACGCTCAGAGGCTTTGCAGTGTGCCCAGGAGGGAGTCGTCACCCAGCAGGCTGAGCCCCACCCCGCCCTCACAGGCATCACTGTGCACACCAGGGAAGGATGCCAGGGTTCCCCGGGGCCACAGCGGGAGGAGGAGATGACCTACGGTGCACAGGCCTTGCTGATGGTGTCCTTGGGCTGAGGCTGACGCGCTGGACTCGTCGGAGAGGCAGGGGAGGCTGCGGGCACAGACGGAAGCGGAGGAGACGTGAGTGAGAAAGGGTTGGCTATACTTGGTTCATCTGCAAAATGGCAACGGAAAGTCACGCTGGAGTGTAGAAAACCAGCAGAGGGGCTGTCCAGGGGCTGGGTGGAATGCCTGTGGCCCACAGCACAGTGCCTGGGTTCAGTGATCTATTGCATGTCCCCAGGGCCCTCAAGCCTATTTGTCCTCTGTGGGTTTCCCTGCCGTGTGTGTGTGTCAATTCTCCCAGCCCCCTGACCGAGCAGCACCACCTAGGCCATCAGTAAAATGGCTAACAGATAGATCCATCTATCCTCTTATGCCAAACTCCCACCATGGCTTGTGGTAGGGGTGTGGGTGGGCAGAGGGATTGGTGCTGAGGCTGTGCTGCAGGTCACCACCACGTCTCAAGCTCGGACTGTAGGAACCAAGGGTCAGGCAACTCTATGGGGACCCTCTGCCCATAGGATTGTACGGTAGTGTCCCTGGCCCCTACCCATCAAGGAGGCAACCAAAGCTATCTGATGGCCCGGAGAAATGTCTCCATGGGGCCAGAAGTGCCCCGTGTCCATGCCCAGTGTGGTCCTGCTCCTCCGGCCCGGTCCTGCTCCTTCCCTGCCAATGCCTCTGCATGCACATGCGTGCCTGGTCCCAAGGAAGTGCACTGCACAGCACCAGATGCAGGCATGCATGTCAAAGCCCTTAGGCCAGTTTCCTCTTAAAACCCTGATGGCTGTGTCTCACTGCAATTTTAAAGATCAAAGTAAATTCATTCCGTAGAAAGCGGGTCATCCCTGACTTGGGAATGCCCAAAGAATGGAGCCTTGTTGATCTATGTCCATGAGGGACCATGCTAGCTTGGCTGGCAGGCTGTGAGGTGCAGCCCACCCTTCAGGTCAGATTCCCTTGCCACACACATGCCTTCTTCAGCCTCAGTGTCCCTTGACCTTGGACCTCCTGAGTCAGCAAAACCTGAAATCCCATCCAATCCTAGAAGCCACAATTGACAAGAGCCTGCCTTCCTTTTGGCTCACTTGTCACAAGAACCCTCTTTTGCTTGCCCCAGCCCAGCCCAGCCCCTGAGAAGAGACCACCTTCTGTGAACCCACCCAATGCTGCACGGTAACTGTGGAGGGCTTTATGCCTCTCATGGGTACTGTGGGAAACCAAGTACCACTTCTCTTTGCATTCCCTGGAGTGCTGCTTCTCACATTATCTGTGGCAATCATACTGGCAAGGTTTTATCTACTACACCCACAAAGGACCAGTTCTTTAATGCAAGTGAAGCAGGAGGAAAACGGCCATGCTCTCAGATGGCGAGGTATCTCCACACCTTAAGTTTTTCTAACAGTCTGTTCCCAGTCTCTGCACCCCTTCCATTGTGTCCCAGAAGCAGTTCAGGGGCTGTGCTTGTCCAGGGACCCTTCTTTGAGTAGCCCTGCCCATCACAGCGGCTTCCACGCAAAAAGCCACGGCCACAGTGTTTACATGGGTAAGTGCAAGTAGGCTCTGGAGGCTAGCACAAAACGATACTTCAGCATCCGTGCTGAGGGACCAATATACATCGACTGCACTGCCCCCTTGTGGTGCACTTTCTCCTAACAGGCAGAGCTGCGAGAGCTAACTGCCCCATTTCACTCCTCTGAAACCAGAGTGGGGAAGGCGTGAGAACCTCGAAGGCTCCATACCTGGGGGCTGTTCCGGTCCCAGTTCCTCCACAGATGGCTGTGCAGGTGGTGCTGGAGGGGAACCTCGGGGTGGTGCTTGGCAGGACTCCACAGCTGAGGACCCTGGAGCTGGCAGGGCTGATGTGGTTGACCTGGATGTAGGGGATCTGGGTGGTGACTCAGGGGTTTGGACCTGTTGCTGAGATGACACAGGTACCAGCCCAGTTGGTGTGACAGGTAGAGACGAGCCAGGGGATGAGCTGGGGGTCACGTTGGCATCTGGGGGTGCTGCAGGTGGCTCAGGCAGTGAGTCAGTTGGAGAATGTGCTGGAGATGAGGCCAGTGGGGATTCAGGTGAAGACACGGGTGGTGGGACAAGTGACTCCACAGGCCTCTCACTTGTGAGCTCGGGTGGGGACACGGATGGCACGTGGCCACCCTTTCCATCTCCCTCAGGAGCCCACTGCAGGTGACCTGTGGGTTCTTCCGGACTGGCCTGCTGCACGTGGAGGTTGAGCTGGCTGCGCTCAGGACACTCGTGGCCAAGGGCAAGTTCAATTTGGCAGTAAACTTCTACTCGGGGGAAAATCACTCTCTTGGAGGGAGAATTGAGGTAGGTAGCATCTAAAAAAAGATTTCCAAGTTATTTTCATAAGCAAGGTTAGCACTGTTCAGTGGCCTTTCTTGGCTTAAATTGGCAGGGAGGAAAAATGCTCATGATGGTTCCTGCATTCTTGCAGCTTTGTCTGCCTAAGCCATCTAGAGAAATCTAATCAGGAAGTTGTGGCATTCAGTCTGCAGCAAGGTGCCAGTGGCACCCTCATCATTGTGAGAACGCAGCATCCTGGGCACCATATCACAGCTGACCCATGTGAAACAGACCTGGAACCTAGAACTATTCCCCCGAACTAAGCTTATTCAAGGTCTGAGAGGGCAGAAGGGAAATGGACAAAAGGCTTGAACAGGCACCTCCCCAAAGAAGAAATTAAAATGGCAGATAAGCAGCTACAAAGGTTTTCAGCCACAGGTGTCCACAGTAAATGTCAATGAAACCTACAGTAAGACACCCCCATGCACCTACTGGAATGGCCAGCCCTACCATATGCTGTGAGCATTTGGGAAAACCAGTACCAATATCCACTGCTTATGGTCATGTAATAGGGTACAACCACTTGGCAAAAGCAATCCGGCAGTTTCTTAAAGAGCCAAACAGACATTCTGGTTATGGTTATACGCCTCCAAATTAAAAACTGGACCTCAAAGACATATTGACACATCTCCGTTCATGATTGTGTAATCCACGATAGCCAGAAGGTGGAGGGGCCCCAGTCTCCCTTCGCAGGGAGGGGAAAGACACAGGTGGCAAGCATACACTGTGGGTATTGTGTATCAGAGGAAAGCAGTCCTTTCTCGTACAATGGCAGGGATGAACCTTGTGGGTGAGATGTGAAACAAGCCATCGATAGCAAAGACAACTGCTGTGTGTGTCTGCTTGCGTGAGGGATCTGAGGTGGTACAACTCAGAGAAACAGAAAAATTGCAGGAGCCAGAGGAAGAGGAAGGCGGGAGAGTCCCCCTGGCAGGTGCAGGTGGGGGTTTGTAAGATGGAAGAGTCCTGGAGGCTTCTGCACAGCAACGCAGACACCGAGCATGCTTCTGCACAGCCCACTTAAAAGCGTCTCCATGGTGGCCAATCCCACATGATGTGTTTTCAGCACAACCAAAACATGTACAGGTAATGTTTCTATGTGCTAAACATGTATGCACGACACAACATACACATACCATGTGACATCTGTACCACACATGTGTGTACCATACAACCCTGTCATGACATTCTGTTTGTCCAAGAGACAGAACAGCACGGTGTGTACACAGACTCCAGTCAGGAGACTGTATAGCAACTTGACTGTGGAATCCCACATCTGGAGACTGCAGCAAATGGATCAATGAGCCCCACAGTGGCTCTGCAGGGAGATGAAAGGCACAAACAACGTCCATGTTCAGGAGCCCAGACAAGACTCGGCAGAGTGAGGCAGAGTGCAAGACCAGATGGTGAAAGAGCCTGCACTGTGAAAAGTCTCCTTATCCAGAACCCTAGACGATGTGACTTCCTGTGGGACAGCAGAGAGCAGTTGATGGTTAGGGGGAGGGTGGGAGGGACGAGGTAGGAGGGGACAATGGGGTGTCCACTCTCTGGGTTCTGGGGGATGGTTTGTCTTCCAGGTGTGTACCTGAAACTTGATTAAGCAGTGGGAGGGCCAGAAGGCAGGAAGACAGGTGTGGTGGGCTTGCCCGGGTGCCAAAAGGATGCTTCAGATGCTTGCCCTGCGAACTGCATCCTTGTTGGACACCCAGCTGCGCTCCCCATGCACACACCAGCATGGGGAATGTGGATTTTCAAGCAGCCCAGCACACCGTGTCCCTCCTCCTGGCCGAGGGCCACCCAGGGCGTCGAGAGTGGCTGGCTCATTTGGCAGGAGCAATTAGGAGGATGTGATTCCTGGGGAGTTGCGCATGACACATTTTGGGGTGCAGCTTCCTGCCAGAGATGACCCCATGCTTGAACCAGCCAGGTGGAGGTGGGGGTGGACCCTGTCTTTCCAGGAAGCTGGCAAGGATTAGGAACGCAACTTGGAACCAACTGCAGTTTCTCAGATGGGTCAGGCTTCCCATTCACATTTGGTGAAGGAGACATCCAGCTATGCAAGTGTGAATGATGGGGAAACTGGCAGGGGAGAGTCTGGGTTAGGAGGACCTGTCTTGCAGACAGGTGCCTGCTGGGACCTGCCACCGAGGTCTGAGGGGTAGTGGGCTGGACTGGATTGGTCACAGCCTGCACGAGGTTCTCTGATACCCCGTAAGAGAGCGACGGTTGATCTGAGCATCACACTGAAGCTTCATGCAGCTTTGCTCCTTGATCATGAACCCTCATCCCAAAGCAGGGATGCCGGTGAACGTTCAGCCCCTTTCACAGGTGAGGAAACTGAGGCAACTACTGGGGCTCACACAGTCAGCAGACGTTAGGAACCAGAGCCTAGCCCCTTATTTTGGAGGCAGGAAGTAGCCTCCCTGGGGAAGGTGTGTGTGGTGGTGGTGGTGGTGGTGGGGGACCAGGAGTACTTGTCTCCAGTGCAGACATTCTCCCGCTTCTGCTCCTGAACTCTCCAGCCCCTCCCCACCCGCAGACTCCTGGACGGGACCAGGAAAGCCTGAGGGGAGTTGGAAGCAATTTTGGAAGAGGACGTGAGGCTATCCTAGGAAGAAGTTCTCATTCAGTCCCTACCTGCTACTCCCAAGATATCTTCTGAAACAACAAGCGCAAAGCATTCCCCACAGTGCCACTGAGAAACACCTGGGAGCTGCTGGCAGCGAGCAGGCAGGGGGCGCTGCACAGCTGGGATTCCACAGCTGTCGCTGCTTTATCCAACATGTGGGTAGCACAGAGTGTGTGGCATGCACCACAGGAACCCTTCCTCGCACCCTTGCGATCATGCACAGAGGGGCTGGTGGTCCTGAGCACCTGCTGACCCTGCCCCAGGCACTGATTCTCCTCACGGGGTGGTCGCTCCTGCATGTCTTTCAAAGTCCTGTACAACTACAGACTGCTCATGTCTGGTTCTACATCAGTAACACAGTTACTAGAAAGAGACGGAAATGGAAGACACGGAGATGGAATTCACCCCACGGGCCTGAAGTTGGTGCTTCCTAACATCGTTTTCAGAGCCATAAATACGTGTGTGCCTGTGGGCTCCACACCAGCCCAGGTGTTAGCTCTGAAGCCCTCTCCCCATAGACGCACTTGGTTTCTGCACACAGTGGCCCTGTTCAGGATGATACTGATTGCTGAAAGGGGAAGCCTGGGCAGTCCCAGCTCTGCAGGTGGGCTGTGTGGCGCACCCCTTCCCAAACCCCTCCCACTTCCTGCACTTGTTCCTCCCCCAGCCTTCCAGCACCTTCCCCACCCTTGTCCCCCAGCACCCACAGACACTCACTCAGCCGCTTCAGGTACAACACGGTGTCGTCGTACCCTCGGTAGTAGTAGTCGTGCAGGATCTAGGGGTGGACACCGGATTGATGCAGCCGAGGCCTCAGCAGTGGACAGAGCCCCAGCCCCACCAGCCCCACCAGCCCCACCAGCCCCACCAGCCCCACCAGCCCCACCAGCCACACCAGAGCCACACCAGCCACACCAGCCACACCAGAGCCACACCAGCCACACCAGCCACACCAGAGCCACTTGAGTGCTAGTGGATGAACCTCTGAAAGCCCACACATGGCAAATTCCTGGTTGTCTGGGCACAACTTCTGCTCGTGCGCCCCAGGAAGGTTGATGTGCCCTCACTGGGCTCACCACCATGAGAGGGTGAGATGTTTACCCAGGGACCAGAGAAGGGGCCCTGGGGACCCAGCTGATAATCCCAGTGCTGCCACCTAGTGTTGTGTGGCTGTCACTGCTTGCAGCCTTCATTTGCTCATCTGTAGAATGGGCACACTCAAAGCACCCTGCAAAGGAGACTGTGGGGTTTACATGAGGTATTGCCCATGCAGCTTTTGTTGTAAAGGGCCAGAGAGGAAATATTTGGGCTCTGTTGGCCATGTGTAGTCTCTGATCAATACTTTTTTTTTACAATTGTTCAAAAATAGGAAACCCATAGCGGGGCTCCAGTAGGTGCAAAACCAGTGGCTCAGTGCATGGGTGTTCCGCCAGCACTGCATTTCAGTGGAGCAGTCGGAGGCTGCGGGGAGCAGGTCCACGGGGCAGTTCAGGAACCATGCGAAGAAGGGGCATGGATGAAGCCTGAATGCCCACTCCCCACCCAGCCATTGCACCCTTGCCCCTGGCTCCTCTGGCACTCACCACCAGGTCCGGGGGAAAGAGAGCGTGGGTCATCCGCGCGAGGTTCTCCAGGGAGAACTGGAAGGAGTAGTTGAACAGGCGGAAGTCATTGAAGATGGCGGGGCAATCTCGGGGACAGATGTCCTGCTGCCCGCTGAAGGTGGAGATGGTGATAGAGTCGGTCCAGAAGGAGCAGGGCTGCATGTCTGTGAAGCCGCCGTCGATGTACCGCTGTGGGGCAGCCGAGAGTGCTCCTTTGAGAACTGAGGGTGCGCAGCCACCCGGGGGAGGCCTGCCCAGGCAGGGAGGATGGGTGGGGGAGCCCGGAGGTGGGACCTCCCTGCTTAGGGCTCTGTCCTTCTGGTTCCAATCACCACCAGCCATCTCATTGATGCCAGCACATCTCTCCGGCTCTGGCTTGGATGGGTAGGAGGCCATGCCAGGTGCCCTGCCAGGTGCTCAGGCACAGCCAGAGCTTCTGTCTGCTGAGCTGCCGTCATCTGATTCTGTCTTGTGCTAGAATTCTAATTGCTATAGCTTATTTTCTCCGTGTATAAAATGAGGAGAGGGCGTGGGTTTGGGCAGCCTGTCTCAGAGTGTGGCCCTGGGGGCCAGCAGCACAGGCACCAACTCCTGTCCCTTTCCCCACCCTTCCTGGATTGGCAAGAGGCCCAGAACAGCCAGACCCACCCTCACTCCCAACGGGTTCTGAGATGCAGGAACATTTGGCTGGCCCCGGCCTGCCTATCTGCCCCCGAGTTCTAGGGTTTCTGTGCTGCCCTCTCTGTCCAGGATGGGACACCCGGAAGGCCTTGACTTCCCAGGCTCGGCAACGGGCAATGGGTTCAGAGGGCAGAGCACATTCCAAATGGGGATATCCATCTGTCCCCCACCTCCATTCCCGGAAGTCTGTCTGCAGCGGGAATTCTGAGTAGGAAAGCATGACATTTTCCAACATTTGGCCCTCCCATTGCACTCTGAGCCCCTCTTCTCCAAGGTCCCAGATGTGGATCCTGGACAATCCCCAGGGAGTTCTCCCCACTCTGGAGCACTCACCACACCTCGGTAAGTCGGGGGGATGAGGCCACAGTAGACGGGGACAAAGCAGCTGCAGTACAAGGCCTGTGGGGGACAGCACAAGACAGAGATGTAGGGCCCTGGATGGGGCGCAGGGGGCTGAGCCCCACCTGCTGCCTGCCAGGACCTTCTGAAGCCCTGGGCGAAGCCATTGTCCCCGAAGCACAGCCTCGAGTTTGGTGTGCGTGCTGGCCCTGGCTTGGCAACCTGCACAGTCTGTCCGTGCCTGCTGACCCAGCTCCAAAGAGCGAGAGAGGACAACAGTATGGCCAGGGTCCCCATGAGTCCAGGTGACCCAGTGACCTTACAAGGACTCCGTCCTGGGTCGGGCCCTGAGGCGGAAGGAGGTGAGACGTCCATCTCTGAGTGAACTCAGCAACGGCTGACAGTAGGACGGGGCGGCAGGGGCTTTAGTGCAGGTAAGTGAAGACTTGGTGGCCGCAAAGGAGGTTGCAGGGACAGCAAGGGACAGGTGGAGGTCCCTGCACCCCACCCAGATTTCTGGGAGGTCAGAGGTGGAAGCCCTGTTGACACAGAGTGAGGACGGCACATTTCCCCCCCCACACACCCCGCTCTCCGACTCCCCGCCTCCTTGCCTCAATGAGCTCCTCCTTGGACGTGTACTCCGAGACCACCACACACTCCCCGTCGGTGAAGCGGGTGAGGCTGACATGCAGCTTGCCATTGGCCGCCTTGTAGGAGTCCTCGGGCAGCACACGGTACAGGAACTGCCTCATCATCTGCACCATCTTGCAGGATGGGGACAGGGGCCCCAGGAAGGACTTCTTCACCTCAGCCACACCCACGTTGAGGACCCGGAGGTACTCGTCTGCAGGGGAGGTAGAGGGCAGAGACGCAGAGTGATGGCCACTGTGCTGTGCACCAGGGAGGGTGTGGCCCAGGAGGAGGAAGTCATCATGGTGGCACTGCTGGACCCAGACATCCAGGCTCCCTGACTGTGAGCGGACATACCACAGAGACCTTCCCAACCCAACACAGCTCAGCCCCACTTCCTGTCACCAGACCCACCGCCAGGCCATATTCTCCTGGAGCCTTGGGTGAGGTTGTTATCCCACACAGCTGCAGCTGCTGGAGGGCCCTGGAGTCTGTGCCAGGAGGTACGCTGGCCTTGAGGCAGGGGGCATGCACTTTGACCTGAAACCATTGCACATCTTTCCTCAATGGCCCTGGTGGGCTAATAGTGAGGTGACCTTGACCTACAGAGCATGTGAGCACGTGCAGGGGCTTGGTGAGCAAACGAGCAGCTCCAGAAGAAGACCCAGCAGGGCATACTCCACCAGAGCTGTCCCAGCCCTGCCCCCACTGCCACGCCCACCGGGGACATTTGGGCTATAATCTTCCTAAGAAAAGTTGTTCTGCTTGGTTTCATCATGCTATGGGGAAATCGTTTCTAAAATCATCTTACTAATTAGGAAACCAAGACGCGGAGAGGTAATATGGCTTGGCCAGGGCAACCAGTTGGTAAGCGGACCAGGGAAGGTTTAACCTGAGCCTGGAACTTCCCAGGTTTCTAAGCCCAAAACTTCCAGAGCTGGGCCTGCACCTGCTTCGTTCTTGCTGAGCCATGCTGATTTGTTCCCTACACAAGCTCTCCGGAAAACTCAGGAATGGAGCTGGCTCTGAAAAGGATGGCTAAATCCTGAGGCGCATAGGGGTGGCTTTCATTGTGAAGCATGCTGTGTGGAAGAGCTAGCCATGGTTGTGTCCTGGAGCAGCAGCCACTGGGGCATGTGTGTCACGGTGTGCCACCGCGGTGTGTGTGTGTGAGCGAGAAGGGGGAAATGATGAAACAAACAGGAGGACAAAGCCCCATTCCTGGGTTTATCCAAGGGACTTCTGTGCAGGTGCTTACAACTGAGATTCCCTCCAGCTCTGAGGTTTGGGATTCTTAAAGAGCTTTGCAGTGTATGGGGAAGGGATGCCTTACTCTCCCATTGAAAGAAGGAACACTGAGGCACCCAGAGGTTAGGGTTATGTGACTGTCTGTCTGTCTCTCTCTCTCTCTCTCACACACACACACACGAGTAATTTGGAGAAGTATTGAAGAACCTAGCTGTTTTCTGCCTTTTGTAATTCCTGCCTTAATGACTTGGCTGGGGGCTGTGTGAGCTCCAGGCCTGATAGTCTACGTGACACCTGGCAAGAAGGAGGTACCTGGTGTTTGATAAGATTCACCGCCCTATAGCTCATCAATTTGTACTTTTTGGAAGTTGCTTGCTTCAAACCCACCAATAGAAACCCGCTAAATCATGACTATATAGTTAGTAACCTAAAATGTATAAGAACGCTGGGTTGTTCAACCAGAGGGGCTTTCTCGCTCTCGCTCATCCTTTTTCTGTCCTCCCTGCGGATCCTAGCAGCCTCGGCTGCGGCTGCCTCTCTCTTGCCCAGCCCTGCTGGGCTTGGGGAGGTGGCTGGGAGACCTAGGTTAACCTGAATAAACCACCTTTATGCCTTAGCACCGACTTCAGACTTGATAATTTTCTGGGGATTTCAAAATCCGGCGCAACAGCATAAGAATAGGGAGAGGCAAACAGCTCTGCGGTGTAGTGGGCTAAGCCTCCGCCTCAGGCATCAGCATCCCATACAGGTGCTGATTCAAGACCCAGCTGCTCTGCTTCTGTTCGAGTTCCCTGCTAATGGCCTGGGAAGGTAGCAAAGCAGGGACCAAGTGCTCGGGACCCTGGGCCCACCTGAGAGAGACCCAGAAGAAGCCTCAGGTTCTTGGCTTCAGCCTTGCCCAGCCCTGGTAGTTGCAGCCATTTGGGGAGTGAATATCTATCTCTCCTCTCTTTCTAATTGCCTTTTAAACAAACAGGTGAATGTTCAAAAAACACACATATTAAGGATTGTCTCTCTTCTCATTCTTACAGTTCACAGATTATTCTACACCAGCTCTGGAGGTGGGCAAGATGAGAAGCTGTGGGACCATTTTAAAGATGTGGAAATCAAAGCAAAGGAAAAGCAAGCAACTTGCTCAACATCAGCCAGCCAGACTGTGGGTTCCCTGGCTCCACCACCCACAAGCCTGTGGGGTCCCTGGCTCCAGCACCCACCTTTTTTCCCTGAGTGCTGGAGTTGAGCCCAGGGCTGAAGAGGGCTGTGAACCCTGGGTTGCCATGGTGACAGCCTTTTCTTACCAGCGGCCAGGATTGCTCCTACCTCTGCGTGAAGGGGCTTGACCTGAACTACGCAGCATCTCGGCTGACACCCTCTGGCAGAGCAAGGATCAGGGGAGGCGAAAAAACCCTGCAGATTTATCAAGATCAGGTTTACCAGCAGCCCAAGAGTACAGACGGCGCCTTCCTTCAAAGGGAGGGTGGTGGCCAGCCTGTTAGCAGGTGCTGGAGCAACTGACCATTGAATACTGAGGAACTGGGTCACTGAGGCTCTGCCTATAAGAGCAGCTGAGCATGGACATGCAGGTTTTGCAATTCTTTTTTTAAAAAGATTTATTTATTTTTATTGGAAAGTCAGATATACAGACAGGAGGAGAGACAGAAAGAACGATCTTCCATCCCATGGTTCACTCTCCAAGTGACGGCAACGGCCGGTACTGCGCTGATCCGAAGCCAGGAGCCAGGAACTTCCTCCAGGTCTCCCACACGAGTGCAGGGTCCCAAGGCTTTGGGCTGTCCTCTACTGCTTTCCCAGGCCACAAGCAGGGAGCTGGATGGGAAGCTGGACAGCCATGATTAGAACCGGTGCCCATATGGGATCCTGGCACGTGCAAGGCGAGGACTTTAACCACTATGCTATCGTACTGGGCCCAGGTTTTGCACTTCTTAACCAGCAGCCAAAGCTGGCAAAGGTCAGTGAGCTTCCCCCATCCTTGAGCTGGGAGCACCTGAGCCAGTGGAGCTTCTGGACTTCCACCAGGAAGTGGGGATGGAGGGAAGAACATTTGCTCTCTTCATTACCATGCTTGCAAAGGGGACAGATGGGAGGATATTTGTTCTTAGTACACACACGTATGTTGCAGAGAAAATGTTTTTTAAAGATGCAGATAAACAATAAGGAAGGAAAAAAGTGGGTAGGACATCTTCTACCCAAATGTTATTATTATTTACTCTGTAGGCTGTTTATTGCTTAGAGTGCACCCTGCTTTATACGCTATGAATGATTTACTTTTTCCACCTAATATGAGGGATATGTAAATATCCCTTTATAACCTCATTTTAAAGATAGAAAGTGGGCCTGATGCAATGGCTTAGTGGCTAAATTTTCATCTCACATGCACCAGGATCCCACATGGGAACAGGGAGGGGTATGTCTGACATCTCCTGGTCTAGGCCCAGTCTGAACGTCATTCCTGCTGTCCTGGCAGCCATGGGGCTCGGGACGACTTTATGTCAGCATCTTTCTGCTTCTCTCCAGGTCCCTGCGTGTGCTTCTTCGTCTTCGGAGTCTCTGACTCTCATCTTTCTGCCATCTCTCTCTTCTCACTTTCTCCTTCGCCACCCTGGGAAGAATATTCTGGTTAAGCAAGTTCCTGTTGGTAGACAGCCGAGCGATAAGCACAGCAGCTGCTGGGTGCTGAGAAGAGGGATATATTTAGTTCCTTCTGTATGCATCTCTGTCCTTCTAGCACCTTCTCCCAGTGAAAGACTTCATTCCAACCTACAGGCAGCCTGCAAGGTTTGGAACTAGATGCACCCTCACTACAGCAAGCTGGGACTTAAAAATGAACAATAGGATGGGCATTGTGGGGTAATTGGTAAAGTCACATCCTGTGGGAGCACGAGTTCAATTCCTGGCTGCTCTACATCCAATTCAACTCTGTGCTAAGGAGCCTGGAAAAAGCAGCCAAGGACAGCCCTGCAGAGGATGGTCACCCACACATGGGAGACCAGGATGGAGCTCCTGGGTCTCGGCTTCTATCTGGTACAGCACTGGCTTTTGCAGCCACCTGAGGAGTGATCTAGCTGATAGATTATCTCTCTACCTTCTTTCCATTCAGCTCCCTGCTTGTGGACTGGGAAAGCAGTCAAGGGTGGCCCAAAGCCTTGGGACCCTGCACCCATGTGGGAGACCTGGAAGAAGTTCCTGGCTCTGGCTTCAGATCTGTTTTAATTCTAGCTGTGGTGGCCATATGTTGAGTGAACCAGTGGACAGATTTTTTTTCTGTCTCTCCTCCTTTCTGTATATCGGCCTTTCCAATAAAATAAGTAAAAATAAATCAATCTTGAAACACAAAAGAGAGAATGGCCCCACAGACCCAAGTCCAAGTGTATTAGGCGCTTCTGGTCAGCAAGCTTCTGGAGGGGGAGAGCAGTGTTTGTGGTCCTCCTCCCCTCCCCTCTTGACGGCCTGGCACTGTGCTTTGCCCAAAGGAGGTTACTTGGAGACCTTCCCTGAAGGCTGGGAACCTTTCTGGGGAAGAGGTGGACCACACTCTCTACCTCCCCCCAAGCTTTCCCTGACACTTGATGCGTGCTCAGTGTCTGCTCTGTGTGAGTGCGAAGAAAAACAGAAACCCGAGATGGACAGACAACAGAGACAGCTGTGTTGAGTGTGGTTCAAGGCTCAGGTCTTGTGAGTCTATGGTGGCAAACCTCAGTAGAAACACAAGTGAAGGACACACCGGGCTGAGGGACCCCGTGAGGCTCAGCCACTGAGGGACCCCTTTACGCTTTCCCATGGCTGAGCCAGTCCCAGCTTTACTGCATACCATCTCGACCAGGGCCGATGACATAACTATGTCCAGCCTTTATTGTCTCACCTGTAGACTGGGGACAAGAGAAGCGCCCTGCACATAGCAAATGCCCAGCAGACACACTGCTGGCAAGCCCCTACATAGCTGGGGGA